CTTTATTCACCTGAGCTGGCACTCTGCAAGCAACTTTGATCCCTGAAACGTTCAGTGCTTCATGGGGAAGCTCCCCTCCCTTCCACAAACCAACCATTTCTCATGGGCAACATTTGTCCCTGAAGCATAAGAAAGTTCCCTCCAAAGAGATAACCTAATTCACAGCAAATGAATGACAAGAAGAAAAATACTAATTGTTCATTTGGCTCCTCAATAGGGCAGACCATGCTAGAGGAAGAAAAGGATTTCTGTCTACTTTTGGGGTTGTTTTGTTTTTGTTTCTCTTTTTAGCTGTCATTTTTGGGGAAAAAGAAAAAAAAACAGCCTGTCTGATTCTTGCATTTCAATTCAAACCATCATTCCACCTGCAGCAGGAGTATAAGACTCTCTACCTGATGAATAAAGAATTCCTTCTGGATGATTGTTTTAATTCATGTTGTGTGGTCTTCTCGGACTGAATGATTTTCAGATGAACCACAACCAAAAATGAAACTACCCTTCAAGAAGATATTTTATCCTCTATTTCCTAAATATCTTTTATCCTGTTTAAAATTCCCGTATTTATTTACAAAATTGTTTTCAGTAAGTGCCAGAATGGACTATGAAAACACACATACAAATACAGATACAGATACAAAGTTGTGCAATATTAAGAAATTTTAAAAGCTACAGAAAAATGCAGATCGAAAATACGTGCTGAGAATGAAGCAGAACAAAAGCACTACGTGGAATTCCAAGCAATAAAATGGAGAGGCCCTTTGGTCCATATCCAGTTTTGGATGGCATACAGTCACAGAGGGTAAATACTGGCTACATCTCAGCCAGTGGCATGACTCCCATTAACGTCAATGGGGTCATGATTTCATCTGCAATGCACGAAAGAGCCTGCCAGCTCTTCTGTGCTCCTGGGGAGAAGAGAGGGGCTGCACCACATTATGCCTACTGCATCTGAGTGACACTCAGCTCTGACATAGAAGATCAGTCCAACCTTTGAAACTTTTCTCAGGACACTGCATTTGGTTTTGATTGATGTGGAAATCTGTGCTGTTATACAGTTTCCAAAGTTTGTATGTGTCGCCGGCTAACCGCAGAAGGAGCGGCTTCCAGCGCTCCCTGTGACATTTAGGAGGAGAGTCAGGCCAGCCCTGCATGGTTTTCAAAATCCCAGTCTTCACATAAAAGTTGTTTTTGGGGAAGCAGAGTGAGCGAGTTGTGCCGCAAGCACAACTAGTTTCTCAAGAAGTTGCTCTGCTCTCTTGCATTTGGCCAAGACAGAAAACTGTTAAATTACGATCTCCAACGCAGGCACACAGAAACTTCACTGGTTCAGAGAAAATAGCAAACCCATGCCTGTACTTCAGATATCAAGCCAGACTTTTTGTCCTGTTTCTAAATAGAACATAATTTCATTTCATAGCTGCTTTTTTACACTTTGATGTTTTCCTCCTGGAATGTGCACTTTTAAAACTGGGCATGCTATCTCTCTACAGTGGATTAATACATTCTGTGGGTCTGATTGTCGTGGTTTAAACCCAGTCAGGTAACTTGTTCACTCACTCCCAGTGAGTGGTGCCAAGCTGACAACAATCAAGGTCCGTGTTCGTCTCCCCCCCCCTCCCTGCACCGGGGCTCTCCCTTTCCCCGCTCCCGGAGGAACGGGGAGGAGGATCGAGAGAGTGCAACTCCTACGGGTTGAGACAAGAACAGTCCAGCAACAAATCACCACCGCTACTATCAGCTAAAACAATGATAAGGGAAAATAACAAGGGAAGAGAATACGATACCACCGGCCAAGAAAACGAGTTCCACCCGGAAGCTCCTGTCCTTCCGGGTCACTCCCAGTTACCCCCCACCCCGGGCATGACGTGCTGTGGTATGGAATACCTCCCCGGCTAGCCCGGGTCAGGCGCCCCGTCTCTGCTTCCTCACAGCTTCCCCTCCTCCCTGGCAGAGCATGAGCCTCACAGAGTCCTTGGTCAGGGTAAACATCACTTAGCAACAACCGAAAACATCGGCTTCACCAACGCTGTTCTCAAAACTAGAAGTCAAAACACAGCACTGCACCAGTTAACACAAAGGAAAAAACATGACTGCTACTGCTGAACCCAGGACATTATCCACCCCTTATTCCATACCATTCACGTCGTGCTCAGATCCCACATTTTCAATACACCATCGCTCTCCCACATATATACATCCATATACATACAGACCAAGAGGAAAAAAAATCATTTTCTTAGTGCATGGACCAATCCCTATAATGCTGCCGAGTCCATTCGGTCCATGATGTTCCAAGTTCATTCTCTGTTGGGATGATGGCTGGAGGGAAGTCAGGGCCAGTCGCTGGTGACCTGGAGACATCTAGTTGATGGGCTATAAAAGCATTACACAGCAGGCAACAGCATACAATTGAGTTTACTGGCTGTTTTCCCCTAAAATCAAATCCCCTTGAGGTATACATCGGACTTCCCCATCTTCCCGCATTACCCACCAAGTATATCCAGGTCCCTGAGCAAAAGCAATCCCACGAGTGGGTTTGCCTTTACCTGAAGCAGGAATAACCCAGACTGTCTTCCCCAGCAAATTCTTCATATGCACCACGGGAACTTTGTCCCCCTCTACAATATGTAAAAGTTCTGACTGGGCTGGGCCGGCCCTGTTGGCAGATCCTCTGGTGTTGACCAACCAGGTGGCCTTTGGTAAATGTGTATCCCAATGCTTGAAAGTTCCCCCACCCATCGCTCTCAGTGTAGTTTTTAACAGCCCATTGTACCGTTCGATTTTCCCAGAGGCTGGTGCATGGTAGGGGATGTGATATACCCACTCAATGCCATGCTCTTTGGCCCAAATATCTATAAGGTTATTCCGGAAATGAGTCCCATTGTCTGACTCAATTCTCTCTGGGGTGCCGTGTCGCCACAAAATCTGTTTCTCAAGGCCCAGGATGGTGTTCCGGGCAGTGGCATGGGGCACAGCGTATGTTTCCAGCCACCCGGTGGTTGCTTCCACCATGGTAAGCACATGGCGCTTGCCTTGGCGGGTTGGTGGCAGTGTGATATAGTCAATCTGCCAGGCCTCCCCATATTTATACTTCAACCATCGTCCTCCATACCAAAGAGGCTTTAACCGCTTGGCTTGTTTAATTGCAGCACATGTTTCACACTCATGAATAACCTGGGCAATAGTGTCCATTGTTAAGTCCACCCCTCGGTCACGGGCCCATCTATATGTTGCATCTCTGCCCTGATGGCCTGAAGTGTCATGGGCCCACCGGGCCAAAAATAATTCACCTTTATGTTGCCAATCTAAGTCCATCTGAGCCACTTCAATCTTAGCCGCTTTATCCACTTGTTGGTTGTTCTGGTGTTCCTCAGTGGCCCGACTCTTGGGTACATGGGCATCTACATGACGTACCTTCACCACCAGGTTCTGCACCCGGGCAGCAATATCTTTCCACAGTGCAGCAGCCCAGATGGGTTTACCTCTGCGTTGCCAGTTGCTCTGCTTCCATTGCTTCAACCACCCCCACAGGGCATTTGCCACCATCCATGAGTCAGTATAGAGATAAAGTACTGGCCACTTTTCTCGTTCAGCAATGTCCAGGGCCAGCTGGATGGCTTTCACCTCGGCAAATTGACTCGATTCACCCTCTCCTTCAGCAGTTTCTGCAACTTGTCGTCCAGGACTCCATACAGCTGCCTTCCATCTCCGATGCTTTCCCACAATACGGCAAGAGCCATCAGTAAACAAGGCATACTGCTTTTCACTTTCTGACAGTTTATTATATGGTGGGGCCTCTTCAGCACGCACCACCTCCTCCTCTGGTGACATTCCGAAATCTTTGCCCTCTGGCCAGTCCATGATGACTTCTAGAATGCCTGAACGACTGGGATTTCCTATTCGAGTTCGTTGTGTAATTAGTGCAGCCCATTTACTCCATGTAGCATCAGTTGCATGATGTGTAGAGGAGACCCTGCCTTTGAACATCCAGCCCAGCACGGGCAGCCGGGGTGCCAGGAGGAGCTGTGCTTCAGTGCCAATCACTTCCGAAGCAGCTCGAACCCCTTCATACGCTGCCAGTATCTCTTTCTCAGTTGGGGTATAGCTGGCCTCAGATCCTTTGTATCCCCGACTCCAAAAGCCGAGGGGTCGACCTCGAGTCTCCCCTGGAGCTTTCTGCCAGAGGCTCCAGGTAGGACCGTTCTCCCCAGCTGCAGTGTACAGCACATTTTTTACATCTGGTCCGGTTCGGACTGGTCCAAGGGCTACTGCATGAACTATCTCGCGTTTAATTTGCTCAAAGGCTTGTTGCTGCTCAGGGCCCCATTTAAAATCATTCTTCTTCCGGGTCACATGATAGAGAGGGCTTACAATCGAACTGTAATTTGGGATGTGCATTCTCCAGAACCCCACTGCACCCAAGAAAGCTTGCGTTTCTTTCTTATTAGTTGGTGGAGACATTGCTGTTATCTTGTTGATCACATCTGTGGGGATCTGTCTACGTCCATCTTGCCATTTTATTCCCAAAAATTGAATCTCCTGTGCAGGTCCCTTGACCTTACTCCGTTTTATGGCAAAACCGGCTTTCAGCAGGATTTGGATTATTTTCCTCCCTTTCTCAAAGACTTCTTCCGCTGTATCGCCCCACACAATAATGTCATCAATGTATTGCAGGTGTTCTGGAGCTTGCCCCTGTTCCAGTGCAGTCTGGATCAGTCCATGGCAAATGGTAGGGCTGTGTTTCCACCCCTGGGGCAGTCGGTTCCAAGTGAACTGGACACCCCTCCAAGTAAAAGCAAACTGTGGCCTGCACTCTGCTGCCAAAGGAATAGAGAAAAATGCATTGGCAATATCAATCGTGGCATACCACTTGGCTGCTTTTGACTCTAGTTCATACTGAAGTTCTAGCATGTCCGGTACGGCAGCACTCAATGGTGGTGTGACTTCATTCAGGCCACGATAGTCTATTGCCAATGCATTTTTCCAATGCAATGAACTCCATGGTGGAGTTCATCTACAAGCTGCGCAAAACGGCGGAGCGAGAGCAGCGCTCCTTCTGCAGCGCCATGGCCGATGAGATCCGGCTGTCCCTCACGTGCCAGCGGCGGGTCAAGCACAAGCCCCAAGCACCCGTCATGGTGAAGACGGACGCCGTGATCAACATGCACACGTTCAACGACCGACGGCTGCCAGGGAAGGACAACATGACCTGCAACACTGGACTTACACCCGTGTTTCCCTAGGGAATGGGAATGGGGGGGGTGGGAGGGAAGGCAGTGCGGCAGACAAGGCTGGATGCGCTCTAAGTGGGGAAGAAAGGATTGAAAACAAAACAAGTGGTTTGAGGACAGATTTTGACTTGGATATCATCAGCCTCAAAGAAGATGGCCTTGAAAAGGTTGGAGCGTGGAGCCCTTCCAATGGTTTGAACATCACAGAAATCTCCAAAGGACGAGGCCCTAATGTCACAGACTCGCTGAGCAACAGATCCCTCATCGTCACCACGGTCCTGGAAGAGCCCTTTGTCATGTTCCGTAAGTCCGACACGGCTCTGTTTGGGAACGACCGCTTTGAGGGCTACTGCATCGACCTCCTGAAGGAGCTGGCCATCATCCTGGGCTTCACCTACGAGATCCGGCTGGTGGAGGACGGCAAATACGGGGCGCAGGATGAGAAGGGGCAGTGGAACGGAATGATCAAGGAGCTCATTGACCACAAAGCTGATCTGGCCGTTGCTCCTCTCACCATCACCCACGTTCGGGAGAAGGCCATAGACTTCTCCAAGCCCTTCATGACGCTGGGGGTCAGCATCCTGTACCGCAAGCCCAATGGGACCAACCCCAGCGTGTTCTCCTTCCTCAACCCCCTGTCTCCCGACATCTGGATGTGCATCCTCCTCGCCTACCTGGGGGTCAGCTGCGTGCTGTTCGTCATAGCCAGGTTCAGCCCATACGAGTGGTACGACGCCCATCCCTGCAACCCGGGATCGGACATCGTGGAGAACAACTTCACCCTGTTGAACAGCTTCTGGTTTGGGATGGGAGCGCTCATGCAGCAGGGCTCGGAGCTGATGCCCAAAGCACTGTCTACACGGATCATTGGTGGCATATGGTGGTTCTTCACCCTAATTATCATCTCGTCCTACACGGCCAACCTCGCTGCCTTCCTGACAGTGGAGAGGATGGAGTCCCCCATTGACTCGGCAAACCCATCTATATTTCTGGAGTAACAGGAGGATCCCAAGAGTTGACTGTGCTGGAGGCTGAAATCAGCCTGACTGGGAGGGAGTGGCAAAAGCACCCTATTGTGACTGGTCCAGAGGCTCCATGCATCCTCGGCATAGACTACCTCAAGAGAGGGTACTTCAAAGACCCAAAAGGGTACCGGTGGGCTTTTGGTATTGCTGCTTTGGAGACTGAGGAAATTGAGCAGCTGTCCACCTTGCCTGGTCTCTCAGAAGATCCCTCTGCTGTGGGGTTGCTGAAAGTTGAAGAACAACAAGTGCCAATTGCGACCACAACAGTGCACCGGCGGCAATATCGCACCAACCGAGACTCCCTGATTCCCATCCATCAGCTGATCCGTAGACTGGAGAGTCAGGGAGTGATCAGCAGGACCCGCTCACCCTTCAATAGCCCCACGTTGGGCGCCAAAAAGAACTGTCGTGGTTTAAACCCAGTCAGGTAACTTGTTCACTCACTCCCAGTGAGTGGTGCCAAGCTGACAACAATCAAGGTCCGTGTTCGTCTCCCCCCCCCTCCCTGCACCGGGGCTCTCCCTTTCCCCGCTCCCGGAGGAACGGGGAGGAGGATCGAGAGAGTGCAACTCCTACGGGTTGAGACAAGAACAGTCCAGCAACAAATCACCACCGCTACTATCAGCTAAAACAATGATAAGGGAAAATAACAAGGGAAGAGAATACGATACCACCGGCCAAGAAAACGAGTTCCACCCGGAAGCTCCTGTCCTTCCGGGTCACTCCCAGTTACCCCCCACCCCGGGCATGACGTGCTGTGGTATGGAATACCTCCCCGGCTAGCCCGGGTCAGGCGCCCCGTCTCTGCTTCCTCACAGCTTCCCCTCCTCCCTGGCAGAGCATGAGCCTCACAGAGTCCTTGGTCAGGGTAAACATCACTTAGCAACAACCGAAAACATCGGCTTCACCAACGCTGTTCTCAAAACTAGAAGTCAAAACACAGCACTGCACCAGTTAACACAAAGGAAAAAACATGACTGCTACTGCTGAACCCAGGACACTGATCAAAAATGGGACATTGGAGCCTAAAATTTAAATTAAGAAAGAAAGTGGTGCATTGGTCCATGTGAGTAATTCACAGCCCCCTCTTTCCCACCTAGGTCTGCAGAGGTATGAGGACCTCCAGTCAGGGTTGTGTCCTGGGAGAGCTGAGCAGAGTCTGCACCTAAGTGTCCCTTGTGGCTTGGAACTCACAACCAAAGATGCTTCACATCAAAGCTGAACCTTGAAGAAAATGGTCCTTCTCTGCCGAGTGCGCTTATCAGCGCTATGAGAACATGCTTAAATTCTCCCTGCCAGGGACTGATACAATCCTTAAAAATGGGTGGCAACATTTCTACAACTGAGATGTAAGATGCCATGACCACAAAAGTCTCCTATTCCAAGGTTACTATATTTTCATGGAAAGTATTTACCTAAATATCTGATGTCCTAGACAAGTGTCCTGGCCACTGGAGTATCATCGTAACGGTGATAACAACATCAAGCCTCCCCTTTTCATCTGAGTGAAGTCTCCATCTCCAAACAGATGAGTCTACTGGAACAACTGCCCCAGGAACTTGGGGTCTCCACCAATGAAGGTTTTTAAGGTGCAGCTGCACAGGGTGCTAGATAGTCTTATCTAGGCTTCCTTTCCCACAAAATGTGTGACAAGATGATCTTCCAAGGTCCCTTCCAATCTGGGCTATTCTATGGTTCTGTGAACTGTCTCATTTCTGTTCGGTACCAGACTCAGTATTGCAAATCATTACCTAAGTACACCAAAAAGTACACCCCTATTAATTAGCTTAAGCAGTTTACTGCCTGTAATGAATCTCCCAGTTAGGGATATCCAGGAGGTGGAATGCAGTTCTGTCTGAGATGTAGTCCAACATCCAAAAAGATCCTTAATCTTCAATGTGTGACTGCTGGTAAGGGACAAACTACTGTGTCCATGTACAGAGATAAGTAATCATAAGACATACACTTTTATAACCTAAGCTTCATATCACTACCTGACAATCTTTCAACACATTTTTAGCTGACACCATGTCCTCAGCCCCCCATTTGCAGGGCCTTCTCTCTGCTTTGACATCCAGGTTCCTACATCTAGCCATGTTCAAATCAGGCATGTGAGCCAGATGACTCTGTGGAAAAACCTACACCTACAGCCTACAACCAAATACAATATTTCATCAGAAATTACATCATATGTTTTTAAAAGACCAGAGGAATTTGTGGGGGAGGGAAGCAGCTTGTGGGCAGGGCTGTGGGGGAATCACTGCTGTTTGCTCTTATTTGTTCTCTTACCATTCTTTCAGCTTTAATGGAAGGACCCTAGTCCAGCTTCCTTAGTTAGCAAGCCAAGCATGCTAACTATTCTATAGCTGTGTAGAAGATACCAGTTACACTTTTGACATTTTGGCACAAAAGCATTAGCATTGACTATACAAGCAAGGTCCTCTTAAAGGCAGGCATTTTGCTTGACCATTTAGCTAAGCTGAGGCCTGTCTTTCATAAGACTTTTTCATCTTCTCAAAAGACAAGTTAGGCTGCAAATGAAGAAGTGTTTATAACTCAAATGCCCAGGGCTGGACGTAATTTAATATAACTTTGAGCTGAAATGAAAACCATTCAGAGTTCTGATTTCAGCTGATAAAATCAGGTTTTAACTATTAATTTCCATCTTAAATACTCAGATAATTTCTATTTTAGAGGTGTAAATATGGACTCAGGGTGACTCTCATGACTGTTCTTAAATAGTTGTCTAGAAAGCCAGCTCCCCATAAAGCGCCAGCATATTAAAAAGGGAGGAATTGCTCAAGACTTTCAGAATAAAACCTTGGAAATATCAACCAAGCTCAAATTCATTCCATGTCCTGAACTCCTGGAATCTAAGAGCAGACAAAAATGAGCATAACATTTCTGGGGTGAACTCTGCTAAACACTTCCCAGACTTTTCCCCACTGAAAAATATCTGCAGTAAGCAGAAGCAAATGGAGAAAAGCAAATGGGATTTGAGCATCCAAGTCCTTTAGGCATCTTTGGATATCTTAACTGTGATAAAAACAATTTTCACAACAAATAGGTCCTATAAAATAAATACAGTGTATGTTTGTATGTGTGAAGTGTAATGAAGTGGACCAATGCTAATTGCATTATTTCCATTTTCCTGGTTAGATTTTATTCCAGTTAAAGGAAACACAGATTAGGTGTGCCACGATACATAGCTTGCAACAAAATAAAATACACTGAAGTAAAATATAATAGGGTTTTTGCTTTAGTATGGTGGGTTTCTAAACAAAAGTATTAACAAGCAGATCATTACTTTTTATCAAGAGATGCAAGTGTCAAATTCCAAATCCAGAACTGTTGAAGAAATTCTTAAACAGGGGCCCTTCCAGTGCAGGCAGCACTTAGAGAACTTGGACCTTTGGTGCATGACTGTAGTAATTGTCTTCTGTATCATCACGTTATTTAAAATGACTTGCAGTATTCAGGAATGGACACTCAGATCTTTCAGTCTTCCTGCTCTCTATGTTGTCTGACTACCCATAAAAAGTGAACATTTTGATCTTTAAGGCAGTAAGTGAAACCAGACGATTATTTATTAACAGCATCCAGCTGGGGAGCACTTTGATGGCAGAAAGTAAACCTTTTTCAATATACACATGGCAAAATCCTTTTCACATTAATTGAGATTGACTGTTCTTCTCTAAGGCTCCCCTACATCATGGCAGTAAAACACACTTTTCATTTAACAGCTCGACATGCCAACATGTCTCTAAACACACCAACAAATTCACAACACACAACACAGTTCTCATCTAAGTCACGCAAGTCTGACTCAGTCCTAAACTGACATCCTTTTGCTACTGGGGCATGTGAAGAGCAAAGCTGTTGCAGGAGTCCATTCCTCCAGAGGTCTGCACCACTGGGGAAAACCAGAACCCCAAATGCTGTCCTCTGATGGGTTTTGACCACTGTCATCCTCCTGATGACTGCAGGCAGGTTGGGCACATACCTGTGACTTGTGATAAGACCATAGCCTCTGTATTTCACTGATAAATGTACCGTGGGAATAGATGTTGAATTGCGAAGTATGATAAATGCATGCAAACAGATCCTGGGTTTTATATTGGTATGAATTCTACCACCAGCTTGCTGGCAGTGGTTTAGTTTCTGGCATCCAGACCAATCAACACAGAAGAGCCCCCATCCAAATGCAGAGCTAGTTTCAGTAAACAGAAATCTGCTGTGGACTAGTAAATTGTGCTGGTTCATCCCAGTGCAACTTACTAGTATAAATGCAGCCTATAGGAGACAGATTGAATCCTTTCATTGAACGTGCATTATAAGAAACCTTACCAACACCCTAGATGTCCATCAGGACAAAGTGTAGCCAAACAAAGCTGATTCAGATTCAGCTATGAACATAGTTGCTTTCCTATGAAATGGTTGAAAGATTTTCTGGCAACTGCTTTGCAGACGTGCAGACTGGTAATTGAATTCTCAGGGCGACTGCAAACAAGAAAGGAACCTTTCCTTCAGCTTGTGCATAGCTACTGAGTTCCGCTAGAGAGAGAAATATCCCTTTGGATTCAGTAACTACTTCATTGCTGTTGACTTATTTGCACTCGGACTTCAAGCTCTTCTTTTCCTGACACTGGGCTTACAAAAATATCTTTATTTCATGTGTACAACACGAAAGGCGTCCCATTGCACAGATGGTTTCCCATATTTTTCAACATACGTGTGCATACATCAAACCCCAGTCTCAGTTCTTCAGCCTTCCTGCCCCGCAGACCTTTATGCTTTTGCCAAGACATTGGACATTCCTAGGAGAATACAGATCCCATTCAACTAAATAAAAAAAACCCTCACACATACAAATCAACTACAAATGTTCAGGACAGCAAAACAAGCCAAAATGTGCTCTTCTAATTTCTAATTTATTTTCTATATTTAAAAAATGCGCTGAACATTTGCAGTCA